TATATATGAAAATGTATGTAACTGATATCTTTTTTAATTTTTTAAAATTTAGATTCTCTATTTTACAAAGTATTTAATTTATTTTTTATATAAAAAAAACATATATAGTTTATAAATTCGTAATTATAAAAAAACCGAGCGACCTTATGTAGCGCAAATTATCTTCATATTTCTTCACCCCTGTTGTCTCTCGCCTCTCACGACTTCTCCGCCTGCAAGTCTTTACGCACTGTGTAGGTCCCTTCTAGAGTAGAGTATATCCTTTCTTCAGGGATCTACAGTCACGATGATTCCCTCAAAAGTAGAAAAAAATAAGGCAAGAAAAGGACCCTTTCATATCTATCTTTTTCAAATAGAAAAAAATGGATTTGGAGACCTCCCTTCTCGATAATCACGGGCGACGGGAGATTGCTGGAACTCTTCGAGCGAAGATTTTCACTCTCCCGCGCTCTACGACAAGAGGAGGGAGGCGCGAGAGGGAGCATCTCGAAGGCGCGACGCAGTCTTAGGAGTGAAGGGCTTGCGAACTTGCAGAAGGAGAACTTGATGGACTCGGGGGCGTTTTAGGGAGCTCCGGGGGCGCCGCGCTCGCTCTTAGCGGTCGACACAAGCCGGAGGAGCTCGCCACCCTCGCGGCCACCACCAGGTTCTCGCGGAAGGAAATCCAGCTGATTTACCGAGGTTTCAAACAGGAATGCCCGACCGGTCTGGTCGACGAAGATGCTTTCAAACAGATCTTCTCGCAATTCTTTCCGCAGGGAGGTAATGAAGGGATGATGATGATGATAACAACAATGATGATATTGATAATGCCGACTGATCTATTGAACGATAAATACAAACGTCTTTTTTCTGTCTTTGTGAATTTTAATTGTAAATAAATAAAATAATCGTTTTTATTGTAAAAATGAAATTTTTAGATGATATTCTGTCTCAGCTTCTTTCTTATATTTCGTTCATCAGATTTTGTTGATTTTCGAAATTTTCTGGTTTCATGTTAACCGAATTAAAATGAAAAAGTAAATATTAATTTATATACAGGTTTTTTACATAATAAGAATTTTCTAAATTTTGAAAGCTTTATATTTTTTATTAGGCAAATAAATCTATCTTGTGTTACACGAAGAAATCATATAAATCTGTTTAAGTTATCATTACCGTCCTTTTTTGATCACGTGTTGTAGACGCAAGTCAATACGCTCATTATGTTTTCAACACCATGAAGAGGAAACCGTCCGGCAAGATAAGCTTTGAGGTGAGCGACGTCGCAAATAAAATGTTCTGAAAGGAACACGGAAATATTCCCCATGATTTTGAACTCTGCTTTATATTTACTGATTAGACGATTCTATTCAAGTTTTACAGGAAAATTATAGGTTTATTAGTCTGAGTTATAAATTTGTCTTTTTAAATAGGAATTCCTCACTATATTGTCGAAGGTGTCAAGAGGATCGGTGGAGGAGAAGTTGCAATGGGTATTTGGTCTGTACGATCTGGATGGCGATGGCTTGATAAGTAAAGAGGAAATGCTGGATGTTGTGGGCTCCATTTACGAGATGTTGGGTCGTTACACGCAACCGCAAATCCTTGAGCCGCATGTGGCCGCTCGCGAACACGTCGATCGTATCTTTCATGTAAGTAATACGATAGCCCTAATTAGCTAATAAAACAGAACTGAAGCTAACACTTATAAATGAAGATAATTAATAACGAAATAAAAGTTGTAAATTGTAAATATTTTGCGATCTTTCAGAACATAGTTAATAATAATATTAGAATTCATTAATTATTCTAAAAAATTGTAATATTTCTTTTATTTAAATATATTTCATATAATGTATTATATTTTTTAATTTTATTTCATAATGATGGATATTTAATGATGGATGATAATTGTATGGCTCGTGTAGTTAATTATTATTAATAATTGAGTAATATCAATAATATTTTATGCATATTTTTAGTTGATGGACGCGAATAAGGACGGTGTGGTGACTATCGAAGAGCTGGTGCAGTGGTGCTCCAAGGATGAGCAATTGTTGCGAAGTCTCGATACTCTGGACACCGTATTATGAGAATTTAATGTTCTATCGGAAATTTCAGTATCAGATTATCAAATACGCTTTGAGCAATGATTATGAAATATCATGAACCTATCTATCGATCTATTCTACTTTGGTTTTATAGAGAGGAATACGTAAATTTTCAATGATTTAATAATTATATGTAATTATACGTAAGAAAAGTTGATTGAAAGACTTGATTAAAAAGACTTTTCTTAAAAAAAAAAACAAATATCTAATTAAATCTGTTTACGAATCGCCAGCTTATATTTTATATATAAGAGTAATACAAATTGCAATAATTCGACATTTGCGAAAAGAAAAAATCAAATGTAACCAACCGAAATGTCATTGCTCGAGACGTATTTTTAAGAAAAGGCCCTGGAGAATCATTTCGCACGTGTCTTTTGTAAATATGTATGTACCTCGTTACACACCTACCCAGTCTTTCAAATACAACAACTTCCGATACGTCGTTCAACAATTGAAAATCTGAAAGAATCAACGATTTAAGTTGTTCAAAGTTTCTCGAAGCTTCACAGAGAGAGATAGCTTTAAGAATTTTTTTTTAAATATTGAAATTATAATTAAAAATATCTCAAGTTATTATGTTATATATAAAATTATTAAATTATTCATTATTTCGGGAAAAATAAATTGTTAGTTCGTTCAGATACTCAATTTTCTACAATAGATGAATTAAAAGTAATCGATAAAAATTTAATTTGCAAAAATAGAAAAGATGTTCGTAATTCAATTGAATTTGATTATCGATTTTAAATCGATTTTCGAATTTTTAAAATGATTTTACAGAAGAGATGTGCGTCTTTCTTCTTTCTAGAAATTTTTCTGTTGACTTGTATATTTTTAGAAAATTACTATTAGCAAATTCAGTTGGACGTACTAGTGCATACTAGTGCTTATTAAAGTTGTTGTACACTGTTTAAATGTATATGACTATAAAAAAGTGAAATGCAAATATTTCAAATTATAATAAAAATATTTTATCTAACAGCACAATAAAGTGTATTGAGAATTTCATAGTTTAAACGATCTTTATTTATATTAAGCATACATTATTATTACAATTTGCGTACAACGACTTTAATATGCATTAGTGAACACTGAGTTCAATCAAATTCACTATGTGATATTTGCATAATGTTGCGAAGTGTTTAAACCTTGGAAAATCTTTAATAATAATATTATTCGATTGACTCTTTAAGGGCATATCTGCCCTAGCTCTTTAATATTTCCAAATTTAATCTTTTAATCTTAATGTACTATTATGAATGCCAAATTCGAACTTTTAAATCATCGATTACAAAGCAGTACTCTTCTCAGGCCAAGTGAGGAAAACTAATGTTATTCTGTTACTACTTTGCCTGTACCTCGTGTGATTATCCTGTACCTTATTATTATATAATAAAAATAATGTATATATATAT